GACACTGGATCTGGTTCTTCCACAAACTTTTTTTTCTCGTGCAAAGATCGCACCATTCCACTTTGTTGAAAATAATTGGAGATATTGACTATATACATCAGTAAATGTTAAATGTGACTAACAATTTCTTTCTTTGTATTGGAAGATAAATATTAGACAGGGGATTAACCCCAAATCTCAATGAAATTACTAGTTCATACGATTCCAACAGGTTCAGCAAATGGCACAAAAATACCCTAATGAAAAGCAAGGGTGCAACTAGTACATTATAAGATAACTCAGTAAGTGTAAAGAGCTCAAGACTTTTTCAATATCCTCTCTTCATATTAAAGGGAAATTACCAATAGGACAAAGGGGCAATAATCTTCATCAACATTTACATGTAAACTTTTAATATACATAATCTGCTTATCTAGGCTTTGTTCTGTCACTGTACCCATTAGTTTCTAGTGAAATATTTCCACTTTAATAAATCCAATGGTTCTTTCTCTAAACTATCACTGCTCGCTTATCAACGGCCTCAGAATACTAGATTTTCATGGCTTATCTACTTGGATAACAATTCATGAGGAAAAATAAATGAAAGGTGAGAAACCACTTGGACTGAAAAAATAAATCATAAGTAAGAGAGATGTGTATTTTGGTCTTCAGCAGTCTGAGGCTGAAATATGCACATCTCTTATAATTTTGTTTCCTTTCTTTGATCCAAGTGGTTTCTTCCCTTCTGTGCATTATTTGCTTAAATGATGTCCCAGTGAAGGGAAGCCCTTCACTGGGAAAAATTCATAGTATTGTTCTGATCAATTCTGTACCATGCTAGGGTCCATGATGTTGCTGGCAGTCTTCACCATTCTGCCATATCAGACAAGTGCACTCTCATTAGGCAGATAATTCTTGACATCCTATATACTACCTACTCTCTGTGGCAGAGAAAGCTGCTGCTAATTTGTTCATCAGGAGAAATGGGAAAGTTTCTCATGATGCTGGTCTTAATAACCATATGTTGATCCACTACATATTAGTTTTGTTACTGGACCAAGGCCTTCTTCTGTCTTGTGGTTCACCCCATAAAAAATTAATTACTACGGTACATCATTAGATATGATATCAAAGCATCTCCAACTATTTAAAAAAGCAATGTGGATGACAGAATATCTTGGAGGGAAGCCACCTTTCATGATGTCTCTTACATGACATTCCTGTACTTCTTGGATATTGTCTGTCATCAAATTCAGCGTTATTCACATCACTGGAGAGATGCCATCAACCCTATTCCCTACCTGTTTAGCAAACTGCTACTTTCACTTTCACTTACATATAATTCTTGAACCCAGCTCCCATTAATTTTCCACCCTGAATCATGTTAGTGATAGATACTTCTTCAACCAATTGGAGAGATGCATTCAAAATATGCAATGCAATTTCACTGACACGGCATCCACATCATCTTTACTATAATGAAAACCAGAGAGAGAACTTAAAACAAACCCACATCATTCTCACTCTGGGTGCCTCTACTTACATAGTCACTAGTGTTTATACTCTAATACATCTCAATCATTCAACGCCTGTGATTTCATTTACTCAAGAGGTTCAACAATTTAATGGATCTGCTTTCACACAAGCTTCAAGTGGCTTGTAAAACAAAACTACATTTCTGCATCTTTCAGTTTTTGTGGAGTATTAGGGAGATTAAGATGTAGACTTCACTACCATTCAGGTATATCACAAACTTCCTTTCTTACTGGACATTAATAACAATGTTGCCAGATCTGAGAGAATTTTTGTTCGCATATTTATTACCCATGATGTGTATTCCCAAGACATAAGTGACCTGCATTCTCAGATGACTCATTCTCTCTCTATTTCTAGAGTCACTCAGGCCACTTCACCCATTGTTTACAACCATATTCAGGTTGAAAGACTAGAGGCACCTCTTGTTATGTGCATCTCCTGCCCCTCCAGGAATCGGGTCTGTGGGCTTTTAATTATGCCACCACTCGGCACATATGAGAATCACTGTGGATACTTTACTATACTAGTTATTAAATCCTTCATTAATTTTTTTGTACACAGGAAAGCCTGTTCGCTCTATTCAGATACTGCATATCAAATTTTTCTGAAGGCCCTTTATGCAAATTAGATTACAAACAATAAAGGAAATATTTCTAAAAATTCCTCCTCCTACTTTATTATATAATTCCTGAGTGATCATTGGACAAAATACTCTACTGTTACAAATCGTGACCAATCCCACAGTGCTTGATGCAAGACTGTAAATGTGTACCTCACCAAGAAGACAGCTTCTGCAGGTTATTACTCAGCAATACAGTGGAACCCCGACTTACAATGGCCTCAACCTACGATAAAACTGACTTATGATGCTTGTCAACGTAAAAATTTGACCCCGACCTACATTGAACAACCTGACTTACATCATTCGTCCCGTACACGTCCACGCGTCCATCTGGCCTGAGCACGCCTCAGCTGCCCTGCCTTCAGTTAGTGCGCCAATGTTTAGAAGCCAGTGCGGTCACTTCCACGCATACATTCGGAACATTTTGTATTATTCCAGTGTTTTTAGTGCTTGTAACTGCTAAATAAGCCACCATGGTCCTTATGGAAGGGGCTTCCCCTTCCAAAAAATAATACACCTCCATCATTTCCCCTCCTCCCATCCTATCACTCATTACCACATCTTCAATAAAGGTAAGTGTCATTTATTCTTCATTACACAACATATATTGTGCATGTATCCTTCTGTTTGTGTTTAGGAAAATGTATATTTCATGTGGTAAAAAATTTTTTTTTTCTTGAACAGATTAATTTGATTTCTATTATTTCTTATGGGGAAAATTAATTCGACTTACAATAATTTCGTCTTACGATGTGCTCTCTGCAATGGATTAATATCGTAAGTCGGGGGTCCACTGTATAAGCGAGTAAAATGTGAGCATTTCTGCCATTCCATTGTCATCCCCCTCCCTTTACCTCTAGTACATAATAGTGCTATACAGTAATTATTCAAAGCTGAATTTCCTCTTGACCGAACAGGCAGGTAATATATTAATCATATCGTAACTCATGATGGAATGTGGAGATTTTTTACATTTTTTTTTATATTGCTGCTGGAGTTCTGTGGCAGACTTACAGGATTACCTCTTATCTACACTGTGGTCCAAATATTCACTGTGAACAGGCTTTATCAATCTGCTCTTTAGTCTTTGTGCCAATGCAACATAATTCCATTTACTGTATACTGGATGAGGCAGTTAATGTACCACTGGAGTCTAATATGGTGGTCAAATTATATTTGAACCTGACCATTATTATGTTCATCTGACACCAGTGGCTTGCTAATGTCACCATACGGAAACACAATGGTAGAACACACTAAGGTAAGTTTTCTAAGATCAATATATAAGAACACTATCATAACACACCAAGTAAAGTTTGAATGAGGTCATGGGTGCACACACTAAAGTAACTTTCATTATTTCTTCCCACTTGAATTTATTATTTTGATATTCAATTAACTTTGAAATTTCCTCTTTGAAAAAACAATGATTGTCTCATTTTCATACTCAATAGCTATAAAGACCATCGGATAGACTTCAGAAAGATTTACACTTATCCCCTGGGAATCTCACATGGCTCAACCTAAAATTTAATTATAGGCACAGTACCATGCCAGTAAAATTTAAGGTGCTTGCACTCTGAAGGAGGGGTGGAGATATTTGCAGTTTTGAACTGTAATATCAGCATGTCTCTGGCAAGACAGTGATGGAGTGAGTAGTCGTAAAACATGTTTTTTCTTGTTTTCAGGTCACCTCTACCTCAATGGGAGATGGCCGAGTGTTGAAAAACAAAAATTATCCTATACTCAGATATATGTTCAGGATTACACACAAGTTTCTGATCATCTACATCCTTGGAGGTTTATGCTTGCAATTTTCAGAATTCTTCTGTCTTGCAGCGAGTCTGACCTTTCAGGCTGTCCATTATAATGGAATGTAGGGTTTTACTAAGAGGTTTTAATGAAAGATCAGCTGTGCAAATTGCAGACAATAGGACTCTTCAGCACAGTCAATCCCCTCATCATCTAGTAGTTTCCAACACAACTAATGTAGATCTTGATCTCATGTTAGGTGGTAGGTCACCTTCTTCTTGACAGCTGCCTCTGACATATTCATGGTGCTGGTGAAATGCTACACATATGCTTCAATGAACCCTCACCACAGAATACTGAGTTTTGAAGCATGAAAATATATTTTGTGTGGGTTTTAATGAACCACACCTCCAGTCACCTCCCCATGTCAATTGTTCATCTTCAGTGTTGGTGATGAATTGGGTCTTGCTGATAGTTCAGGGTCTGGCAAATTCATTACATCAAACTATTCACAGACAAGGAGAGATTTGATCTTAAATGTGTTAGGGGAATCTTAAATAGTGATATGGGATATTGTTGCTAATGAATGTTTATTCCTACATGCTCACTGAACCTCACAGAATGTTGCTCTTAATACTTCAAAACACAGCATTGTAACTATTCATGTCAAAATACAATCAACAAGTTTATTCCCTACAAAAACAGCCAACGCTCACTCATCAATGGCAAACATCATTAATTTGGGGAAAAAGCCCCCTCCTCCAAAAAAAAAAAAAAAAATTGATTTTGTGATGGCTAGAACCCAAACATGTTCTTAGTGGATAACTGAAATGATATCCATCAAACTTTGATTCATACTATACAAGTAACATGAAAAAATATGTAGAAATAATCCACATTATATTAAATCTATACATAAAAGCTGAGTGAAAGAAAAATACTGTAATTTTAAAATCTATAAAGATTAATGATAATAAACATATTGAAAATTATACAGCTAAAACACTTAAGAGAGATGAACCAAACTGTATGGCTACACTGAGCAAATCATTTTAAAACAGGAAAACTGTGTGACAAGTATCCAAGAAGATAATATAACAGGAAGCCAGCA